GAAGACATTCAAGAGGCTAACAGACACATGAGGAAATGCTCGGGATCACTAGCCATTAAAGAAATGCAAATCAAAACCACAATGAGATACCATGTCACCCAGGCATTACTGACTTAAACCAAAAAAACAGAAAATAATAAATGTTGGAGAGGCTGTGGCAAGATTGGAACTCTTGTGCACTGCTGGTAGGAATGTAAAATGGTAAAACCACTTTGGAAAATGATATGATGCTTCCTTAAAAAGCTAGAAATAGAAATATCAAATGATCCAGCAATCCCACTCCTAGGAATCTATCCTAGAGAAATAAGAGCCATCACATGAATAGACATATGCACATCCATGTTCATCGCAGTATTGTTCACAATAGCAAAAAGATGGAAACAACCTAGATGCTCATCAACAGATGAATGGATAAACAAACTATGGTACATACACACAATGGAGTACTACACAATGATAAAGAACAATGATGAATCTGTGAAGCATCTCACAACATGGATGAATCTGGAGGGCATTACGCTGAGTGAAATAAGTCAATCACAAAAGGACAAATATTATATGAGACCTCTACTATAAAAACTCATGAAAAGGTTTGCACACAAAAAGAAACAATCTTTGATGGTTATGAAGGAGAGGAGGGGTAAGGATGGAAAAATATTAAATAGACTATAGATAAGTGGTAACTTTGGTGAAGGGTAAGATAATACACAATACTGGAGAAGCCAGCACAACTTGTAGAAGGCAAGGTCATGAAAGCTCCACAGACACATCTAAACTCCCTTAGGGAGCAAATTGCTGAGATGGAGGCAGTGGGGACCGTGGTCTTGGGGAACATCTAGCTCAACAAGCATAACATAGTTTATAAAGAAAATGTTTTACATTTTACTTTGGTGAGTAGCTTCTGGGGTCTTAAAAGCCTGTGAGTGGCCATCTTAGATACTCCACTGGTCTTACCCCTTCAGGAGCAAGGGAGAATGAAGAGAACAGGTTACAAGGAAAAGATTATTCTAAAGGACTAATGGCCCACAGCTACCACGGCCTCCACCAGACTGAGTCCAGCACAACTAGATGATGCCTGGCTACCATCACAGACTGCTTTGACAGGGACCACAACAGAAAGTCCTGGACAGAGCTGGAGAAAAATGTAGAACAAAATTCTAACTCACAAAAAAAAGAAGACCTGACTTACTGGCCTGACAGAGACTGGAGAAACCCCGAGAGCATGACCCCGGACACCCTTTTACCTCAGTAATGAAGTCACTGCTGAGGTTCACCCTTCAGCCAAAGATTCGACAGGCCCATAAAACAAAATGAGACTAAAGCGGCACCCCAGCCCAGGGGCAAGGACTAGAGGGCAGGAGGGGACAGGAAAGCTGGTAATAGGGAACCCAAGGTGGAGAAGGGAGAGTGTTGACATGTTGTGGGGTTGTTAACCAATGTCATGAAACAGTATGTGTACTGTTTAATGAGAAGCTAGTTTGTTCTGTAGACCTTCATTGAAAGTACAATAAAAAAAAAGTATCGTAGAACTATGTAGATACATTTTACCAAAGTCAATTTCCTTATTTTGATCTTTCTAACTAGTCACATAGTGTAAAGAATGCTTACTGGTTTTGGAGGTGGTCTCCCTATCCAACCATAGGAATGACAAACTATGGCCATTCTAATCTTTAAAGCCTGAAGACTAGGTTTTATGGCCTCTCTTTCAGCCAAACCTGTGAGTGATCTTTACCCACTATTGCTACCAACCCAGGGTTCAGGAAATTGGGTGAAGGATACATGGGCCCTCTCTGAACTCTCTTTGCAACTTCCTATGAATCTATTATTATTTCAAAATATTTTTTTAAGTACAATGAGACTCACCAAGGTGTAATACTTCTTTTTGAACTCTTTTGAACTTTTTCACCATTTTACAAGGCAGATGATTGACAGAGTTGACATCTAACACATAAGCCACACAGTGAATCCTCTCCTTCAAAGATGGCGAGGTGATGAAGGTGGAATGACTAGGTGTAATTGGCTTTTGGGGATTCAACTGTTATAGAAACATAATGTAACATTCAGAGAGTCTGTTCAATTCATCAGGACATAATTTATGCTTGAAATGCTACTACTACTAACTGCCCACCCAAATATTTATCTCATTGCTCCCAGATACTCCTTCCCCAGATTAGTTACTAATTCCGCTCTGTATTTCCTTTCTACTGTGAGCATAAGGCTATTATATCTTCCTTAATATAATAACTTCATTGCTTTGGTAAAAATGATAATCGTTCACTATAAATAATGCAGTAAAATACAAGGAATGTTAAAAAAAAAACCTCCAAATCTCAGTCTCCAGAAATAACTACCATTAACTTTCATTATACACCATTTAAGACTTTTCTCTAAGCATTATGTATGCTTAAATGAATAAAAGAAAAGAGAGGGAAGATGAGAGAAAATATATATTTAAAATGCCATTTAAACAAAACTGCCATCTATTTCTTTTAATTTTGTAGAAGAAAAACAAACTGAAATGAAGCAGAAGAAATGCCAAATTTCAAGTTAATGTCTCCTTAACACAAGACAAGAATCTTTCTAGGGTTAAAAGGATAGATTATAAAACACAGTAAAAAGTTAGATTCATTATTTTTTTGGTATATGTTTTAATGTTGGACTAAATTGATTAACTTCCTATTAAGAAAAATGATAGTGTTAGTATGTGCCTGGTTTCTCCCATTTCTCTGCCCTATTCCTCCTCCCCGTATCTATATGTCTTTTTCCCTTACTAGGTTGTGAGGTCCTTGAGGATAGGATTATCTTCATATTCAACTATGTGTTTTCAGTAACTAGCTTAGTGTCTGGCATGTGTTAGATTTTTAACAAATGGGGTTTCTTTTTTTGGAGTGACTAAACGAGTGCATAGTTAAGGTTTCCAGTGAGGCACAATTGAAAGGCAAAGGTCACCATTTAGAAATTGAGGCTGATTGAATTACACCCAAACCTAAAAGAGATGTGATAGCAATAGTTAACTTTCTGAGCACTTAGAGTATATCATCTCATTTAATCTACTCAGCCCCTGTGAGACTGGTACTATTACATTTTACACGTGAAAAAATTAAGACTTAGTGGGAATGTAATCTGCTTAAGGGTACACAACTAATTAGTGCAGAGCTAGCCCTTGGATCTAGGTATTTGAACAGTGAAGCCTGAGTACTTACAGTATAATATTATACTTCAATAGAAAGTGGTTAATCAATATTTTGTCTCTGTAATTATAAAGGCACAAGAGATAAAACTACCTCCCTATAAGTTTACATGTTTTAAAGACTGATCTAAACACAATCTCCCTCTGAACTTTTCCTGGAACATGGATGAGTAGAATCCTGTCCTATAACTGTATTTCTCAATGCTATGGAAAAGAAGAGCATTTACTCTGCATCATCTACACGAATACTTATTCATTTAAAGTAGAGCAGTGTCAACTGATGTTGGAACCTCCTTTTGGTGGTTAAGACTGCTATATGGGGCAAAAGTTCAACAAAAAACATTGATGAAAATGGTTTGAAGTGTTTTGGAGATTGGAAAATCCTACCTGATATCTGTCTGGTATGCAGCCTTTTAAAATGTGGGATATGTCATCTATGCATAATCCTGCTTCCTCTTTCTCTTCCAGCCCCGGTGAGTCACACAACATAAATGGCAGAGATATGCCATCTTTTCCATCTTTAATGGAGTATATTCTATACTGTAAAACAAAACAGAGTAAGTGTAAAAGTTCATTCTTCAACAAGCATTAAGACATGACAATAGGAAGAACAGAGACTGGTCAATGTTTTAGCATAGTAGTCCTCAAGCTTTTTTGGTCCTAGCAAATCTTTAGACTCTTAAAAATTATTGAAGGTTCCAAAGATGAATCCTATCTATTTATATTTATCATATTGGAAATTAAAACTGAAACAAATTTTAAACGTTTCTTAAGTCATTAAAAAATAAAATCACGGAGTTCCAGCAAAATGGCGCTCTAGGCAGAAGCACCACGCTGTCCCTCCACAGCAAAGATCTGAAACAACTAAGCCAAACAGAGAATACAACAATCCTGAAACCCTAAAATATCAAATGAAGAGATAAAGAACTCAGCCAAACACCAAATGGAGTGAGAAAACTGACAGAGAACGGAGACCGAGGATTCATGCAGAGGTCCCCTAAAAGCTAATGCAGCGTGGATCCACCATCTTGGATTCCTGTTGGAGACCAGCAAATGGGGGTATGAGAAAGAAGCTTCACGGAGTGTCCAGCGGGAGACAAAACAGCCGGTAATTTGTGGTGTGCGCTTTCCAACCCCCCACCCCTCTTCGCCCC